GGAGGAGGAGGAGGACACTGCCTCCGCGCATACATTTTCCACGCGAAGCGAGGTTCCACATGGGTTTGCAACTTTCCACGCGAGGTTTTTAACTTTCAGTTGCAAACCCATGTGGAACCTTGCTTCGCGTGGAAAGTGTATGCGTGGAGGCAGGATGTTCCGTTTCCTCCCTATGGGGGGACTCCACCATCAAAAAACTATACACACAGAGTCTGGATTGAATCTCGTTTTGCATAGAAATTCGTAAACCTATGTGGAATCTCGCTTTGCGTGGAAGAGCGTGGACTCGCTTGTTGCGGGGCAAAGCGACACTTTTTTCTGTCAGATTCTTTCGTTTCACGCAAAAATGCGTTGAATGAGCATAAATTTATCAAAATTGGAGGTGAAATAGCGATACTGAATAATTACCCTTTGGAAATACTATGGAAATATTAATAATTCCTTTTTTTTTAACAGGATATTTTTACTTCTGATGTGAAATTGAATGAATCCTTAGACAATCAATTTTTAAAATGGGGATTGTTGGATTAACAACATTTATATCAAATCATTCTGAGCATTATCATGCAAATTACGCACTACATGATACTTATTTAGTAATTGATGGTAATAGTATAGCATGTCAATTATACATGTGGCATGCGAAATGTAATAGTATCTTTGGTGGTGATTATGACAAGTATGCGCAATGTGTATCAGATTTTTTCGATGAGTTATTAATGTGTAATGTCATTCCCTTGGTCTTAATCGATGGTGGTTGTGAAAACAAGAAATTGAAAACAGTTATATCTCGAACTAAAGATAAAATTGAAATGGCGTCACGTTACACTCTCCATTTTCAGCAAAGAGCAAAATTCTTTCCTCTTCTTATGAAAGAAGTCTTCAAAGATGTCATGAATGAAAAAGGTATTAAATATACACAATGCATATTTGAAGCAGATAATACCATAGCTACAATAGCACGTGGTCTCAATTGTCCTGTGTTGAGTTACGACTCTGATTTCTACATTTATGGATCATTGTATATACCATTCGACACATGGGGAAGTGGTGTAGTTCCTAATCCAACAGGCAGTGGCTCTATGAAATATTGCAAAATTTATAATGTTGAGAAGCTTTTTCGAGCTTACAATGGATTGAATCAGACTTTGTTGCCTTTGGCAGCAATATTATTAGGAAATGATTATGTGAAGCAACATACGTTTAGAAATTTCTTCCGTCATTTGAAATTACCGCGGATAGGAAGAAAAAAATTTAACGAACAACAACGGCGCATAGATGCTACATTTAATTGGCTACGGAAACTCAGCTTAAATCAAGCTGTAATAGGAATACTAAGTAGACTGCGAAGACAAGAACGCAAACGTGTATTAAATATAATAGAAACGATGATAAATGGTTCATACATGACACGTGTACCACAGAGTATTTTACATATACTGGGTATTCTCACACAGAAATTTTTGAAAGCACAGTTGCTGAATATATCCAAAACATACAAATTTGAAGGAGATATATACAATTTGACGTATATTGACGAAAGGACAAATGAAACAGAGTCAAGCAATGACGACGATGAAATCGAAGACAAAGAAATAGTAAGCGTACTTGCAGGAAGAGAGACAGTGTCATGTCCTGAATTTGAGATTAGGAATTTGCCAAAGTGGTTTATCAGTGAATTCAAGCTTGGTAGATATCCTTCTTACTTTATAGACATCATCATGCGAAAGTTGTACGTTTGTCCAACGCAAATTGAAGATCATTCATACGCCTCATCTGTCAATGCAAGCTTAAACATTATAAGCGTTATTTATGAATTACTGATGTCAGAAAGACCCTACCTTACTGGATTGATGAGTCGACAAGCAACTTCGATGGATTATATGGAATATCTGACGCGATATAAGGACACAATTAAGTGTTTTCGCTTGACGTACGACCGTCAACTAATCAGTTTTGAACATTCACGTTTCATCAATTTTAGAACATTACCAATACTCGCGCGAAAAGAAATTTTGGATGATACTTTTAAAATTACATACACCGATAAAAGTTGTATATATAAAATTCCACCAAACTGGAAATTATATATTGCAACCATGAAATACTGGATAAATCAAGAAGAAGAATCATTTAAACTCAATTGTCATATATATTCCTTATTATTCACTATATTATATAACATAATAGATAACAAAATAGGTTTCCATAGAATTCTACACAAATTTCATCATAGATACGATAAACTTGTGAAAGAAATTCAAAATACAAGGAAAGTGCAAAATTACCAGCCAAAATATTCGGACAAAACTACACTCATTAATGCACTTCAGGAAGTTAATGTAGACGATTGTTGGATTGCAGCTTCATTTTTTGTATCCAATTTTGAGACAAATCAAAAACTTTATTTGCAACCAAAAAAATTTAATATTACTATTGTTCACAATTTTGCAGTGTTCCAAAATTGTTTAAGACATGGCATGCATTTAAATGCTCTGCTAGAATATCCATATGAACAAACCAAGGTTGCTAGCGTGTTCAATGGTACATTGCTGTACAATCTGTGCAGCAATTTTAAAAAGCGCGATAATGTTGAAGAGTACATTAATACAGTTTTGCAAAATTCTCCGAGTTTATTGCGGCTATTTAATATACTTTTATCGACAGTCAAACCTTTGTTTGGTACGCTATTGGAAAAGAAAGTTAATAAGTCTAAGAAACGAAAAGCGAGAAGAGATAAAAAAAAAGAGGAAAGAGACACTACACAGGAAGATCATGATGAAGAAGAAGAAGCTGAAACGACACATGAAAGCAGTAGCGAAGAAGTCTTTCACGATGTAAATAATCCTTTTTCAATACTAGGTGCTACGCAAAATTAGGATTTCCGTTGTACATAATAATCAAACTACATTTCTCTATCAACATGTATTTAGCTATCCTAGCTAGTATGAAAAAAAATAGACATTTTTAATTAATTTGAAAAAAATCATCACTTTTTTATTACTCCTAAAAAAATTTAATAATTTAATCTGTAATTCTATTAATTTAAAAATAGCGTGTAAGTATGACACAGAGAATCGTAACTCCCCTCTTGGAAAAAGGGTGATTAAAAGTTTATTCACGTCGCATGGCCCAACATGTTCCTACTCGCTATGATACGCTCCAATCTATGGTATTACGTTACATATACCGAACAAACCTCTTCTGTCGCTGTAGTTAATGGTACAACTTCTTCACATGTAAAGGCTCTTGCAGACAGGACGATGGAACGCTTGCCGCGCGATAAAAAGCGACGTGGTAGCCAATCAGGTTTTCGCTCTTATGGAAAAGTTGTAAGGCCGAATTCCCACTGAGCGCGCCCCGCGCCGCATTATCCGCTGCGTCACGAATTAAGCAATCAAAACATCCCATTTTATTGCATCATTTGCCGCGCGAATAAAATGGGATGTTTTGATTGATTAATTCGTGACGCGAGGGATAATGCCGACGCGTGACGCGCTCAGTGAGAATTCGGCCTAAGAGCCTTAATTCTGTACTTCCCCTCATTGTATATTATAAAAAAAAATTGAATAATGCGTAACAACCAACAATAAGCGTGAAGCTCTGTCTGTAACTATTGTTGTTCGATAGATAATTTTCATTAATATTCAAGGTAATAATAGTTATTTTCTCATTCTGTATATATGTAAACAATATTTTACAATAAATAGAAATAAAAATTTGACATATGATAAAAAAATCTTTGGAAATACTATGGAAATATTAATGATTCCTTTTTTTTAACAGGATTTTTTTATGATGTGAAATTGAATGAATCCTTAGACAATCAATTTTTAAAATGGGGATTTTTGGATTAACAACATTTATATCAAATCAATCTGAGCATTATTTTACAAATTACGCCCTACATGATACTTATTTAGTAATTGATGGTAATAGTATAGCGCATTGCTTATACACTTATGCAAAGTGTAATGATGCCTTTGGTGGTGATTATGACAAGTATGCACGATGCGTATCAGATTTTTTTGCTGAATTATTAAAGTGTAATGTCACTCCTTTAGTCTTAATCGATGGTGGCTGTGAAGACAAGAAATTGGAGACAGATATATATCGGACTAAACAGAAGATTCAAAAGGTGTCACGCTACACACACTATTTTAAGCAAGTAAGCCAATTCTTTCCTCTTCTAATGAAGGAAGTCTTCAAAGATGTCATGACTGAGAAAGGTATTAAGTATGCACAATGCATATTCGAAGCGGATAATATCATAGCTGCAATAGCACGTATTCTCGATTGTCCTGTGTTGAGTTACGACTCTGATTTCTATATTTATGGATCATTATATATACCATTTAACACATGGGAAAAAGGTATAGTTCGTAAATCAACAGGCAGAGGCTATATGAAATGTTGCAAAATTTATGATGTTGAGAAGCTTTTTCAAGTTTACGATGGATTGAATCAGACTTTGCTGCCTTTGGCAGCAATATTAATAGGAAATGACTATGTGAAGAAATATACTTTCAGAAATTTTTTCCATCAGTTGGAATTATCGCAAGCAACAGAAAAGATGTATGATGAACGACAATGGCGTATAGATGCTACATTTAATTGGCTAAAGAAACTCAACTTAAATCAAGCTGTAACAGAAATATTAAGCAGACTGCGAAGAGAAAAACGTAAGCATGTATTAAATATAATAGAAACGATGATAAATGGTTACATCAATGCATCATTGGATGTTTTACATGTGCTGGGTGTTCCGGTACATCAGATTTCGAAAGCAAAATTACAGAATATATTTAAAGCATACAAATTTGAAGGGGATATATACAATTTGACATATATTGATGAAAGCACAAGTGAAACAAAGTCAAGTGATGACGATGATGAAATTGACGACAAAGAAATAACAAGCATATGTGCGGGAAAAGAGGTGGTCTCTAATGAATCTCTGGTTAATAATTTGCCACAGTGGTTTATTAATGAATTCAAGCTTGGTAGATATCCTTCTTACTTTATAAACATCATCATACGGAAGTTGTACGTTTGTCGTACGCAAATTGAAGATCATTTATACAGCTCATCTATCTTTGCAAGCTTAAACATTATAAGCGTTATTTATGGATTACTGATGTCAGGAATTGAAGAAGAAAAAACTTGCATGGAGTATATAACGCGAGATGGGATAACAATCAAGCGTTTTCAATTGGAATATAACAATAGTGTACTCGATTATAAATTACCGCTTTTATCCAATTTGGGAAAATTACCAATGATTACTAGAAAAGAAATTTTAAATAACACTTTGAGAATTACCGATGAGAGCTGTATAAGTGAAATTCCACCAAACTGGAAATTATATGTTGCAACCATGAAGTACTGGATAGATCAAAAACAACAATCATTTAAAGAGCATATGTATATTCTCCATTGTTTTATATATTCGTTATTATTTGCTATGTTATTTAACGTAATCGATCGCAAAATAGGCGTCCATAGAGTTCTACGCGAATTTAATCATAGATTCGATAAACTTGTGGAAAAGATTCAAAACACAAGAAAAGTGGAAAATTATCAGCCAGAATATTTAGACAACACTACACTCGTTAGTGCGCTTCATAAAGTTGATAGACACGATTGTTGGATTGCAGCCTCATTTTTTGTATCTAATTTTGAGACTAATCCATACTTACATCCAAACGATTTCAAAATTATAATTGTTCACGGTTTTGCGGAGTTTCAAAATTGTTTAAGTCATAGCATGGCCTTGAATGCATTGTTGGGATATCCATATGAGCAAACCAAGGTTGCTAGTGTGTTCAGTGGCACATTGCTGTACAATCTGTGCAACAATTTTAAAAAGTGCGACAATATTGAGGAGTACATTAATACAGTTTTGCAAAATTCTCCGAGTTTATTGCGATTATTTAATGTACTTTTGTTGAAAGTTAAACCTTTGGTTGGTATGGCATAGGAAAAGGAAGTCGGTAGATGTAAGAATCAAGAAAAGCGTCTTTCACGTGCAAATAATTCTTTTTCGATATTTGATGTTACGTAAAATTAGGATATATGACGATACATATCAGTACATATTCGAATAATATGTACTGACACGAAAAACTTTAAAAGCTAAATTACAACAGAAAATAAAAAAAATTGTTTGACTTTTTCCAACGATGTTTAATTTACAATTTGACTAATTTAGAAAATGATAAGTTGTATAAAATAAATGAGAAAAAGAAAAAAGACGTTTAATTTTTTCATTTACATTTTTTACAATTAGACAACATCAAGATCCTCGCTACTATCACTTTCATCACTATTGGAACAATTCACATCTTTTCGTTGCTGGTGCGATACTGATCGTTTAGCATTAGCTTTCTTCCTTCTATCACGCAATCGATTTTTCTAAACAGTGAAAGAAAGATTTCTGTTCTGCAGAACAAAAAAATTAATATGGAAAGAAGTCAATAGTTGTATTACATCTTTGTATATTTCCCAGAACGCGCTGAGCGCTGACTTAAAGGCATTAGCTTCTTCTAGTAAAGTTGGTATACAATATTGGTCATCGCCGTGTTTGGCAAGCAATCCAACGCAAACAGCATATTTTAATTTCTCCTGTAATTCCCATTCAAGAGTCTCTCTTTTAACTGGATAATTTTTTTGTATATGATCTTTTAAGGTCTTTAATTTAACAAATAATTGACGTTTTTGTAAATCTTTTACAGCTGCACGTAGCATTTGTGGCGTTATAGAAATCTTTCTCATCTAAACAAAAAATTATAATTGTATATTATATTACATAAAATATGATGTGCACAAATTGTTTTAAATTCTATGCTATTGCAAACATAAAGAAAAAATTATATCTATCAAAATTATTTTTTAATCTGTATCGTTAAAAAAATAATTGTATAATACTTGAACGCACGGTGAATTCGATGAATCATTATTACAAGAAATTTTGAAATTGATAACATTTTACCAAATCGATATCATTTTGACAAAAATAAACACAATTGGACAGCCTAATTTGTAAACAACTTGAACATAATCGATAATATGTCAAACGCATGAATATATTTATTTTATTGTTTCTAATTTTATTTTGAAATCAAATTTCAAAAGTTCATTTTGCGACAATAAACATTATTCTTACAAAGAAACTTGTCAAAATGATAAGTTAGGATGTCAGTAATCGATACATATTTCTTTTGTTAAATTACATATATTACATATATCGTGATTAATTAGAATGATAAGTACATTTGTGTACATATTATATTTCTTCTCGTCTCAATTGTGACAACATCAATGGATTAAATTAAACATTTGTTTCATATTCTGTGAAAAATACGTATTGTATAAAAATGTAATACATTCATAGCGTAAAGCAAGTCTTCGAAAGTGTATAAACTACGTCACATAATATTTTTAAAATATAAAAAGAATACTCTTCACAAAGTTTATGTTCAATATTATCATGTTAATATTAATCAATATCAATATCAATCAATATTATCATATGACATATCAAGATAATACAACATATTCTTAAAATTCTTAACGAATTTTGTAACTACCTATATAATCAATTTACTATAACACATTCTTGATGTTGCTGAAACAATAATAGTTGCACACAACTATTCAAGTAGGTCCATTTCGTAGTCATAATAGGTATGGAAAATTGCACATGTGCACATATAGCTTGTATTTTAATATATATTCTTTTACATTTATATATACACAGTATTAACGGAATTGGTATCTTAACAAATATTAAGAAAAACCCTGTCTGAATCATAATCCAAGGAAACTTGATATAATCTTTGTGGTAATACTGAAAGATATGTGCATTATAAAATTCGTTAAAATTACTTTTAACGCATAATTAAAAAGTACCAATATTATGAGTTACTGCTATATCAAAAGTCATTTATATCATTGCATATTTTCTGTGATCATGCTTTTTCTTAAATAATTCTTTCGCGCAATTTCTGACAATTAAGTAAATACATTTTTTAACATATACAATTAGGGTAACTATACTTGTCACAGGACGGTCTATCACACTATACTATTTTATTAAACTTAAAATTTTAAAAAGTTGCATCATCATATATTTACTGATTAAAAAAAATTATCGATCAAATCAATAATTATATCGAATGTTAAACGACTTGCGTAAATTTACAATTCTAATGTTGTTGCAATCATCGAGATATCACATAAAAATAAGCTTAGCAGTAAATATAGAAATATAAAAATCAAACTTTTCACTGGAGTTTTAGAGAAAAATTTTTGTCAATATTGTATAAACATAAACATTTGATATTCTGCATTACAATGTGAATGTACTCATAACAAAGTTAATTCATTGCGAATTTATATCATGGATAAAGTATAAATGACAGCTTAATATAACAAGATATTGTTGTAAATTTGATATCACATCGAAATCAAATTGTAATACGTCATTATATTCCATATATTAATATAGAATTAAATATAACGAGATTTACAATAAATTAACAGCAAAATGGACGTTTGACCAACATTTTTACAACAATTATGCGATTATATTACAATTTGGTACTGGCTGGTTGCGATAAAAATTAGATTAGTAATTTGAGAACTATGTCTTCCCATTTTTTACTTAAGCCCTATATACAATATAAGCTCATATAGAGATTGTTAGTTTAGTTCTTGCACTTGAATCTTCATATTTCTGCAACTATAACAAAATACCATTGCACTGAATCTACATGCAGGGCTCCTAATACTTTCTATAAATATTTTATTTCTACATTGATGAATATTCTACATATTCTTTTGAAAAAAAAAAACTTTTTATCCCAAAATGATTCACTCCATTATTATCACGAAGCAGTGCCGACACCATGCTGCAAGAATTGTAGAATAAGAACCAACTGATGCGCATAATTCGAATGAGGAATGATATAAAACATATCGAATAATCTTACTAAGTCTCTTAATCCTTAGCAGAATTATTTTTCCACACGCTTATAAAATATTGTACAAAGAAAACAATAATAATAATAAGTATAGTATCAATAAAGCTTTTAGACATATTTATATTATGATGTTGTTCGCCGGACTCTCTTTGCTTCCTTGCAATTTGTTCTACAATCTGTTGTATACGGTTCAATTTTTCGCCATGATGTAGCATTTGATTATCTACTTCTTTTACAATATCTATTATCCTAAAATGTAGATATATTTATATATATTATTAAAAATTCTAGTTTCTATGCCAATTTTGCGCTTATAAAAGTTAACATGCAATTCGTAATATCATAATATCTATGCTCTATTTCGATGCTCTTACCTAGCAGTTGAACGTCTCCTTTTTCCTATTGACTGACTAGAATCGGTATGTGCTTCTGCGGATGAGCTTCCGGAATCGTGAGTTTCTGTTAGAGGCATATTGTTAGATAGTTGTCTCTTCGAAGATTTGAGCACTGATAAGGAAGAACGTGATTCAGCTTGTAGTAAAGGAATCTGCAAAGATTATTATTTATAGAATAAATAATTAATTAGGTCTAGATATAGCTGAAATAATAAATAACATGTTTTATGGTTTGTTTTATCAAAACTGAACGAACGCTTTCTCGAGAAATTATGATATATGTGTATATTTTAAAATATAAAAATATAAAATATAAAAATAATAATACAATGAAAAATTTGCTTTTATCTAAACTCGTAATTATATTTAAATATAACAAAATGGAAATTTATGTTTGTCAGAAATATTAAAAAGCATATATAAAGAAAAAAAAGCAAAATAAGCATTCTTTTCATTAATATATACAATTTTTTACGTATATTCTCTTTATTCATACTTGCAAATTTATTTTTATTTTTCTTAGGTTTTTATCTTGCATTACATTTTTTTTCTAATAATGTGACTGCTATTTAAAAAAATATGAAATATGTGTAAGATATCTAAAATTACATAAATCTATCATAGATCTTCATATTGGAAGATATAAATGAATGATTTACTTTAAATGTAATTATGTTAGTTTTTTTAGATTTTATTTTCTAGATTTTTTTAGATTTGTGCAATTTGTGTACAATTATGCAATACAGTTATAGAATCAAGGAAATATTTAATTACAAAAGCAATATTATAAGTTGATTAATAAATACGATAATAACAATTAATATTAGATAAAACTGCAAGTCAAGCAAACCAAGTTTATTACAAATATCGGAAATGTATACAGTCTATTCAAATCCATGGATAGCAAATAAAATAAAGTAATATATAACATGCAGTCGTTCAGTAGCACTATCGAAAAGGACGAAAATAGTCACACAAAGCAATTAAAGTAATGATATATGTGTACAAATGCTAAAACGGCATGCACGGTGAAAATTAGGTTTTATATCGCTGTACCTGTGATTGTGGTTCAGTAGAAACAATGCTACCAGTACGCATAATAGGTGTTTTATGTCTAGTCTTTGTGCGTACTACATAATTTTCTTCATATTGTACTACATCATTTCTCGGATCCCACGGTCTTACATCAGCATGCCGATACACCCAATTTCCTGTTATAATATCCTATCAAAGCAGAACAAATTTTATTATATTTTGCAGATATTAAAAATTTTACAATATCACATGGAGTATAAAAGTGACATTTATCGTACTTGGACGAAGTATTTTGGAATCCATTCTTGTCCCAGACTTTTCCGCTCTTTAGCGCGTTCCCTTTGTGCTTCCTCGAGTCCAGTTTTAGCTTCCGTAGCAGCGGTTTGATCATCCCTATTGATGGCCTGCGTAACAGCATGCCACAGTTTCTCGCTTTCCCACGGCCCTTGACATTCCATAGGAACGGTATATTTCTTTAACCTTTTTTGACGTACTTCTGGAGTCGGATTGAAGAATACATTTTCTTGCTGTAAAATAAAATGTTCGTTAGCTGAAATTCCCGATTGAAATTCATGTTTAACGTACTCCTGTTCGTTTGTCCACTATTGAAATCAATCCATCCCAATATCCGATTATAGTAGCTAAAGTTTCCTTTCCAAGACGTATTCGTCCCACAACTTGATTCATTAGTTCTGCACCACCAAGAAACGGCTGAAAATATTATTCATCGTTATTATATGTTTCTAAAATTGTTTTATATATTTCTTAAATTATTAGTATTTGATAGTTTTACAGACGTAGTGTAACATCGTTCGTTACCTTAAGTTTAAATTCTAATTCAGTATGATAGCCAGTTTTTTCGCATGTTATGTTCACTTTTCCACCAAGTTCCATAGACAACGTTCCCATAAGAATACCTTTACAATGTGCATAAGGAATTGTCATTGTGTAATCTTCACCTCTCGGCAGCATCGTTAATATAGCAACACCGTCCAAAACTGCGGAAGTTGAATTCCCTGAAAAATTAAACATGTATAAGTAACGTACGTTATCATACATATACCGCCAGATAGAAATGTTATATTCTACTTTAAATAGTAATATTTACCATAAAATTTTGACTTTGCAATTATCGTGGCGCTAATGGTAAATCCGTCTTGGCGGTTCGTTACGTAGAATCCCGAGATAGGTGGGTGATGCGATAACTAGTAAAAATATGTAGACAAATGTATTAAAAACAGAACATATATATATAATAATACTTAATTATAAAAGAAATAATTTTCTACACAAAATCTTAAAAATCTTTTGCATCATTACTTGTTCGGCTAAGTAGAATGTTCTTGAACCATTGGGATGTTGCCAATAGCAACGGAATGTTTCTCCCAAAAGCGGATTGTACGGTTTTTTCAGGCCCTGTGGTTTCTTATAAAATCCTGATAAGTACCATTTTACTACAGCTTTCATACGTGTAAATGCATCGTCTTCCAATACTGCTCTGTAAAATAAAATTTAAAAAATTCAAAGATTTAGATTTAAAGAAAAATCCTGACATAAATGTATTGCTACTTTTTTACTTACAGAGATAATAAGTCGGCATGATAATACGAATCGGCCAGTTTCTCCAGAAACGAACGTGGTTCCAGAATAAAAGTAGGCAATACAACCTTGGATAGATCCATGCCAGGACGAACTTGTTTCATCAAGAACCATATCAGAGACTTTTGTTCTTCTTGCAGCTCCGCGACGACTTCGCCAGCCTATTTAACAATAACATAGAGATACGATAAAAAAAAAAAAAAAAATTCTTCAAAAATTATAAAATCATCTTATTAGACTAATTAAAAATGTTGAATGTTACACAGAGTTAATGCATACCGTTCCAAGAAATTCATTTTCGTTTGCCACGTATGGTGTTTCAGTGATTGGTTCGGGCGACTGGTCTTCCTTGGCCGATGCCTCAGACTCGCTGTCCGAAGCACTGATTTCAACATCAGCCGCTACTCCATTCTCCGGCTGACTGATATCGTCCAGGTCTGTATGCGAGGTGTACACAGGATCTAGCGTTACTACTTGACGGGTATCGTACTCTAGGACATGTACAGAAGGAACGGTCATGCGTCGTGCTGGGGAAATCGGTGGATGAAATGCGGAAGCGGAATGGGAAGAACCAGATGGCTGATTGTCGCCGCCATTTGGTTCCTCGTTGGAAATTGAGAATGCAACATTTTCCTGATCTGTGCCAGGTGTCGGGGATCGTTCGAGCAATTGTTTTTCCCAATATGCAACTGCATGATAAAGCTGTTGAAACATTGGAGTCGGCGAAGGACAAACGCTTTTGAGATTACGCGTTATGGCAGGTGACAGTGGCTGTGGACATGATAACAAGCGCCTTTGAGGCGTTGTAGGCGATCTTGGTGCATAACAACTTAAATATACTATTCGTGCAGTAAGCAGGGCAAAGAATGTTAGGATAGCAAATAGAAAGAAAAAAGTAATGGTAAATAATTATTATTTATGAAATTTCTCATAAGTTTAAGTATCTAAGACTACGCTAATTTTTACAAGATATAAAATTGACAAATATAGAGACATAAAAGTATTATTGTAGAAAACATTCCAATATAGTGTCTATCAAATTTTGGTGACGTATTCTTTGAATAATTCATAACTGCTTTTATTTTCATGGAAGCTTTGGAAGCTTTTACGATTTTAGATCTAAGTACATTTGTATTTAGCATAAATTTAGATTTAACATTAAAGTAGCAATCAAATAAATATCTATCAAAACTCCATTAAGAAAAGTTTATCAAATTCGTCAAAGAATCGGTCATTAAAGTTTATACTGGTACTGGCAAGATGCATGTTCATAAAAAAATAAATATTAAGCTAAAGAAATCATGTTAAAGAAAATTAAAAGAAAGATAATTAAAAAAAATTACATTAAATAGAATAGAATTATTGCATAAAAAATATATTTATAATTAACTACTTATATAGACTTGAAATTTAGAGAAATCCCACATGTTCGCTAAAATTTTTATGATCACGATTTCTACTTGGTTATGTAATATTTCTAAAGCATAAGTTATCTACAACTGTTTACTTTCGTCAATAGCAGTGCAGATTGACAAATCACCATGCATCATTTACAGATTGTATTTCTTCTACAACATACTTTTGTAAATGTCTTCATGAATTCAATTCTCTATTTATACTGTTCTATCAAAAATATCGATAGCTGTTTGTCTTCTTTTGTTTTGAGAGATTTCAATACACATAATAAATACACTGTGAATAATGTTATTTACACATAGGGGCCTTCATATTTAAATAGTAATAATCAAATTTGCATTTTACGCAGTTATGACTCACAGTAAAATGTACTAACATTTATATAATATTAATACACATATAGAATGTTAAGAAATAATTTCAGATTAATCAATCTTAATTGGATAGGAAATCTGTACATGTTATTCCATTGATACAAAAATTCGGTCCAAACGAAACACATTTCATCCTCTGCGCGGATTACACTTGAATATCACAAGTAGGAAGCTTTATCAATGATACTAACCATGATCATCAAAATGCTTTTCATAATCAGCCTCGCTCCATTGAGTTTCATGAGTAGTAGTTGTGTCGTGTGGTAAAGGACGTGGTAATGCGCTCGTTGAGCGCACTATTAATGAAGAGCAACGTAACGACAATTCAAGTGCGTCCAGCCAACATTTGCCTGCTGCTTGCGATGGTGCTCGGAAAATTAAGTAAGACGTCGGCAAAGGTTGTACAACGGCACCTAAAAAAAATATTAATTTGTTTATGATTATTAAAATTCTTTGTATGCAAAGCATATCTATTTCTAAATTAAGCTGAATATTCTCTATTGGCGTATAAAAAGATTATATTAAAATAATTATAAGATATACATTAATAATTGAGAAACAAATACGCACCAATAGCTTCTTTCTCCGGTCCTCGAGGAGCCCAAATCGACTGCTCCAAGGGATGAAACAATTTAAAACAAAATCCGTCCTTTTTACTCGGACGTTCTATGACTTGGCATGTATTAAGTAACACCGTTCCCACCCAATGATTACTCTGCAACAAATCCTAGTGAGTTACTTAGTGGAAAAATAAGCAAAGAATAATTGGAGAAAAAATATAAATACAAACCTTTGTTTTTGGGCTTTTATACAGCAGCAATAAACCAGGTTTCAGAATACACCACAATTTGGTCCAACTTTTCAATGTTCCACGAACCTTCAACCAATCGCTCATAACAATAACGGTTGGATCCTTGAAGGAACTTAAAAGCTCATTGGCTACCCTTTTCTTCTCCATCCGATAATTCTTTCTCTGTGCTTTATATGATTCTTTTCGCGTTAATTTGCAGGAATCCAACGACTGAAAACATTATTCATATGTTATTCAAATTAAAACAGACTATATTTTATTGTATTTCAAATAATAAAAATGTAGAATGTTTGATAAGTTGTAATACATGAATGTCTTAATAAGAAACAAGTTGAATCTTGAAAACAAAATATTGATTACCTTGTCTGATAAATTATCAACTTTTTGACTCGTTTCACCCATTGCGGAGAGTCCTACAACATGTACAATTTTGCATTATTTCTTTTACAAAATATATTTACAATATTGAGAAAAAATTATATTAGATATAATACCATTAGAATCTATACGCAACATTTATTTCAGAAACTCTTAAAATTTTAACATATTTTAAATATTTTTCGATAAGTTGTTGCGTTATAAATATTTTATGTATAACGAATTCTTTAATTATTTAATAATAAGATTAATATTTTGTAAAATAATTCATGTAAAAATGTAAAAATATAAAATCAATTTTTACAATTATATTAAAGAATTTCAAATAAAAAATACAGTAAAATCAAATTTCATATTTTTGAGAAGAAATAACGCATGCTTATAGATAGAGGAAATAAATAAATTACACACTCTGTATAATAAAAAAAAGCCAAAACCACATAATGTTATCATCTTCGTCTTATATAAAGAAAATCCTACTCACACATTCTCGCCAATCAGAAAAGTATAAAGTAAGACATATATTACTTTTTCTACAACATAAACAAATCAAGATAATTATTTTTAAAATTTGTAATTTGCATATCTCATAAATCTTATGTAGCATCTAGCTCATTTTCTTATTGTGTTTCTTTACTAGTAGATTATAGCTTAAATATCAAGTTTGCGCGGTTTTCGTGAAAGGTATTATCAGCAACACCGCACGAACTTTGTGAGTCACCTAATAAAATATTCCGTTTTTTATATGCTTCATGTTTGAAGTAATTAAGATTTATAAAGCAAATATTAAAAAAAGAAAAATTACAAAATAATAATACTCAACGATAATAACAGTCAACATGTAATAATAAAATTGATTATCTTGATTTGTATTATGGATATATTACAAATAAATTATATTTATACTATTTCCTATATCATTATTTATATCATATTTACATTTTCATTACTTAAGAATAAACAACGTTTATTTATTGATGTAGTTATTGATATAGTTTTCCTAATAGCTATAAACAATATAAATATAATAAAATTCAGATTTTGAAAAAATTAAAATTATATTAAATTATCTCGAATATTATGTTAAAATATGTACAATATGTAAAGCAATTTGTAAGATTTGCATCAAATCTAAAGAATGTCTTTTAACAAATTTAAAAAGAATTGGGATTTTACTTCCTTATTTTTTTCAATTTAAATCGTGTGACAATAATGAAGTTATTAAGATAATTTATTTAGCACAGCACTTTCAAAGACGCAATTTATTGCAACAAAATCATGCTTTATTACAAAGAATATTAAAAATGTAAATTTTTCCTTAAAAAAGTTTGCCTTTCATATAAAAATGTATTTATTCAAATTTGATATGAAGCTTGTGAAATAATCATATTCAACAGCGAAATAAAATATAAATTTGTACTGCTACATTATTACGCTGAGTTATATAATCATGTCTATATTCGCACTCTATCAATGATAATACTATTACGTGAAGATTTTTTGCATATCTCAAGCTTATTTTTGTACAAAAAGAAGCATGTAAAGTGCAGGTAGTATAAGCGTTAAATAATATTGAGAGATACATAAAGAGATTAAAAGTAACGAAAATTGCACATAAAACACAAAGTAAACATAAGAAAAGAGCTCAGCAAGCCATACATACTTTCCGAATCTTTCTAATTATACCTATTATACTGCAGAAATAAAAGCATGTAATGCCAATCAAGTTTTGGAAGCTGCTTGTATCTGTTCAGTTATCCCAGACTCTAGCAAGGATGTATTACTTTCGAAAATATTTGTAGAATTATACCTGGAGAAACTGGAGGTGCACCGGCTGTAATATTTATACTTGTCGAAAGGGACTCGGTTGATGGAAGTTTAGGTAATGGTGTAGACTGTGCTTGAATGCTGCTTCGTCGAGGTTGTCGATCTGCTGGTTCTACATATTTAGCACTTGTTCAGTCGCACTCAATAATTATCAACACATTTTATATCACAAATAGAAAATGTCTCTAAAAACTATTCAACGAATACTCGACACAGCACATGATAGATACAAATTGTACTTTCTACGTTACAGACAGGTAATAATGTTAACGTGTAATGGAAAAAATATCACAATATTATTTCTTTCTGTAGTGAATAAGAGAGAAGTTGCGAAAAAACACGTGATTATTTACAATCAAATTTTTAACGAAAAATGATATATTTTGCTGCAACGAAAATAAAATAAGCATGCTTGAATTATACATGCATAATGCAACATGATGCAATTTTATTGTTACATGCAGCCAATTTCACAAAAACAAAATTGAATGTTAGAAATATATTTGTAACATTGCATTATAGCACATTCAATATACATTAAAATAATATAATACACCAACTTATCATATTGTCACACAAAAAGTGTTCTTGTATCATGTCTTCCTGTTCTTACATATATACTGTGTTTTGTATGAAGTAATGTACATGTTTCAATGATAAAAATTATGTTATTTCCAATGTTAATTTGTCTAAAACACTGTTATGTTAATCTAAAGCCTGTCATGCTATCTAAAAATGTTCATCTAAAATACTGATATACTTTGATTGATATCAAGAGATGAGTTGCAGAATGCAAAATCGTATATTGTCTTTATTGTATATTAAAGAACAAATACAGTTAAAAGTGGGTCATAAAGTATATGCTATTACCCACAACAAACAGTGCTTATAGTACTAGGGATTCCTACTATAATATGAGAACAGTTTGTGACACTCTCAAGTATTGATTTTCATTTTTCCAATACTTAGACTTGCTATAGCATGTATTTCATTCATATTAATGAACTGCCACAACTATGTACCTGACATATCCTCATTGGTAAGATTACAAAGTAGTTTTACATATCAGATACGTCACAAATCAGGGACAGAAATGCTATAAATAAAGCTATTGTACTTGAAATTTAATAAATATTCTCATAATTTTTGCTCTTTCTTATTAACTCTTACTTTTTTAATTAAAGATATTCAAAGATGTGCAAATGTTGTGCACGTTACACATGTTAAATATTTATAATTATTATTTCAGAAAAAAAAAATATATATATATTTGGGAAACATGCGTTAATAGAAAATAAACTGTAACGCACAAATATTTTCTGACTTACATACATGTATTGATATTATGTAAACATGAAAAACTGCTATTTATGAGAGTATTACATAAACCTACTGGAGAACACTTTAATAACACAGCAGAGAGTTATGCAGAGACATGCTTCTATTACATTTGTATTTATAATTCACATAGTTCAAATGTCAATGACAAATAGTTTCACACAGTGGTTTTTTCAGAAAATGTGCAGCTTTCACATAAATTTGTGTGTATACAATTACGACACAGTGAAAAGCATAGTTCCTAATTTGACATTTCTATTGCACTTAACTATATACTTCCTTATTATAATTCTCTAACTTCCTTACCCTCTTGAGACTAATCAATTTGTGACTATAGTTACAAATAATGAGAAGAATAGGTACATAAGCAATAATGTCATTACAAAAATGTTCATATAGCAATCAAATTAGCTATATTGTGACATTATTGCATATTCAATATCAGATATATATTCCTAATAAAATCTTGAAGATTTCAACAATATGTAAACACAATAATGTACTTACGACTGAGGGATCTGCTGACATTTGGCGGTGTCATTGTCTTAAAGCTGTCCGCTGAGCTTCCAACAGAATGAGTTTCCACTGGAGGACGCTGATGGTCTCCACCAGGTACCACAATCGGTTGTGAACTCATTGCAAATCTAGAAGTGACAATCCTTATCTCAAGTTTCTATTTAACATGTAAATACTAGATACTTTTTGTCAGACTGAATGAGCACATCAATGAAAAAATCATTAAGATATCTGAATTGTGGGTTAGTTCCCGAAATGCATACTAAATAATGACAAATTGCAAAAGGAATGCTAAACAAACAGAAAAGACTGCTCGGCATGTGTTTACATTTACAGCTCATTCATTGTACAACTGTGTATGCGAGGTGTCAAAACTCACCTTGCTTTCGAACGATTGTTTGCACGACAGCTGTATCAGTCCATTGCAATAATGAATTACGTGGAGCAGGCAATTAGAGCGTGAGGCATGAAGCAACGCACTTTAAGCGCGACATCGCTAATATCGCTTTCCGACACTCGCGAGTGCACTTCTGGAACGACAAACTGGCTCGCCGTCGCAAAACACACGAACTGTCGCTCGAAACGCAGGTCGTCACACTGCGGGAACGAACGACAAGTGTCGTGTACGCGGATGGACGGTCTCGCAGCGGCGAAGAACACGATGGACGGTGCGACGCGAGCGAACTCGGGCGCGAGCGCGAAGTGCGATGTACCATTGATCACCCGCGCGACAACGGTTTAATATATCGCGACGGCAAAGCGAGAGCGCGCGCGGCTCCGCTCGAGTCGCGACTGCAACTGCGCCAGCGACAACCGTGCCGAGGCACAGCGCAACGCTACGCAGTGCGATGCGCACTACCGCAAGAAAAAACCTTCTCGAAGGTGGAAGGTTGAAAAGAGGAGCGCGTTTAACCGGCGACAGCCGTGCTGCGGCTGCACGTTTAACTCGACAAAAACATTATACTTTGTTGACAATGACATATGACACGATCCCACTTCGTGTCTCGCTCGCCCGGCGCCGATCGCTCGCGGCCGCGTGCGTCGCGTATCTTATTGCGTTTGCATTCGCCGGTGGAAAATCCCTCGTTTTTTGCCGTGCTGCTCAGGTCAGTGGACGGTCGGGCGCTTCGTTGGTATGTCCGGCATTTTTGAAAGCGTAACCGGCCGCAGTTGATGACGTTGCACGCACGCGGGTCCAATTGAATTAGCTCATCGTCGCCTCCGCCTCCGGTCGAGCTCTTTCTCTTCTCTCTCTTCGAGGACCGATCGATCGGCTAATACGTGTAAATTTTTAATAATCACGATTACCACTATCACGCCTTGCTCACCGTGGCGTTGCTTCTAATATTAGCTAACACATCCTCGTTAAAATTCGCTTTGTCTTCTCCGTCCGCCTCACAAGCGGTATGTTATGATCTAAAAAGGGACACGTTGTATGCTAATCTGAGGCTGGTTAAAGCGAACGGTCAGTGCAGCAGTCGGTGCGGCAGTCCGTGATGCCTGGTCGTAGATTAGCGCTAATTCCGGTGAGAATTATCCAGCCTAGCAGAATGGAATTTTGTTCAGCCTGTCTAGCAAAGTTCCGGCCGGGTTCACACCGCGCAAATCACTGAAAAATTGTTAAAATTAATTAAACATGAGCGTTACAAATGTATTTTAAATATCTCGCAATCCAAATTGAACGAGTTAAAGATTGCCCTAGTTTTCTTTCTCCGTCTACATTTTGCGCAGAATCGTAATGTAGAAAAGGACGGCACGTCGATAACTCTCGGGATTATTCGACCTCGAACTGCCGATGCAATTCAGTCTATAAGTTAATCGGGGTTAAACAGTAGTAACCACGAGTAATTTCCATATGCGACATATCTGTCTTTATTGACTTAAGTACAGGGGAAAGTAAAGAGGCATTTGAGAGAAATCAAGCTCTTTAAAAAAATCTCTTTACTTCTTGACTTTTTTTGTATTTTCAACTGTCTTTTCTTAATATATAAATTCTACAATTCTTCTCTCTTTTTTTCCAACTTAAATGCATGTTCTACATTATACATACCACAATCTAAAGTTATCAGTCGCTTTCTCAACTTTCAAGTGCGTACAAATAGATAATCAAGTAAAACGTTGATAGTGTAACGTGGCACGAGATATAAATATCACTATTTGTTGAAATGAAATCAACAAAACGTGGAAGCGTTAGTTATACTAAAAAGATTGAAAGAAGTATTAAAAAATATTGAAAAAATCAATGAAAATTTAATTATTCTGTTGCTTAATAAAGGAAATTTAAGGTTAATTTCTTACTTCTGCAAAGCGACGACGGTTGTCCCATGATTTATGAGATTTTCTAACATGTTTATAAATTTACAAAATGATAGTGCATCGTGTAATTAGTTTTCTTATTAAGCAGATGCTGCATGATTAATTATGTCGTCAATATATTATTGATATTCTTCCGAAATAACTGTTATATCTCGACATATCGGATAGGTTAGCGATGACAATAGATTTCCTATTTTTGGCAGCACTGAAACCGGAATAGGACAGGTCAGTACTGATTGTCACGTGTGCAGAGTACAAGAAAGAGTAAAAGGAACACTACGGTGCAGTAATGGCGCATAACATTGTCAAATGTCATCATATGTCATTTGAGCTGATCATTTTCCGTTCTTCAGTTGTGACGTGCGTTACATTTATATCATATATTCTATATACGATCTATATTTGCTTTTTGCTAACTTAAATATTTCTGACTGCATACCTTGTTAATATGCAGATCATGATTCTTCTCTGCTTCATTCTTTTTGTTTCGGATGCATATCTTTACTGATTTTCTTGCATCATATTTGTATCCTTTTTTGCAGTAAATGAATATATATCTGTATCATTGGAAATGCAAGTAGCGCGGCTGGAATAAACGTATCGATCAATGTTTCGCATATTTTATTGGCATGATAATGCCGAAGCACAATAGATCTCGTATGCACGAGTACTGCTTATTCATAGTGCAATTAAACATCTTATGTAAGTACTGACGTTGTTATTATGCTTTTTTTTTCTGCATTACATTCGTATTGTGCAGGTATAATTTTTTATCCAATTACATTGTATTATACATGCACGATTAATTAATTGCGATGCAAATGCAAATTCTCAGCTGCGAGATCACAATAGGAATGAAAAAAATCTAGGAATAAATATTGATAATATATTCATTGATATATTTTTATAGATTGCATATACATAGAAAAATTTTGCTATTTTACTCTCCTTTTTTTTCTCTTTGTCTAAATTTATTTATTCCTAAATTCACTCTAGAAGAATTTTCTCTAAGATTAATTTTTAAAATGTTAAGATCGTTTTTCACATTAAATAAGATAAAAGGCAATAATAACTTTAACGGCATGATTATTGGATTCGGCTTTCTAATTTTTAATCTGATTTTTAGATGAAAGGATTGGTGAAAGCGAGCAAAATGCAATTACGCTTCAAAATGAAATGATATATTCATAATTCGATACTATCGAAACATGTTGCGAGCGATTGGCTGCGCTAAGCCGGGTACGTCCGGTTTCGATCACCGGTGTCGCTGCACTCAAATGTGAAGTCGCGCGAGTTAGTAAAATACGAATCGAGCTGCATCAGTTTGCATCAGTGTGCGGTGGTGTGCGGTCGGTAGTTTGTACGGTGGATCGGAGCGACGTCGGGCGGCAAATCTGTCAACCTTTTTCTCCGTCGGAGAATTCGTCGGCGCGCGTCGCCGGCATATGAAACGAGTTTAGTCGTGCAGCGGAACGATGGCCGCGTGTATCAACGATGAACAGGTATCTCCGACGAATGCCGTGAGAAAGCCGTCGTTGACGGCGACCGGCGCCGCCGCTGCCGGCAAGCCGTTGTACTGGCAACATCGGCTCTTCGGCAAACAGCTTGCACGTTGCAGTCAGGTTAACGACATGAAGAAGTCTATTGACTCGACGGCGACCTCGCTCATCCACGAGGACGGCCAGCCGGTCTGCGAGATCATCGGCATGTACTTCAGCTTCGTGAACCCCGGCGCGACCTGCGACGACTTCACGCGTCAGCTGGTCGAGCTCTACTCGAACGTTAACGGCGCGGACAACAACGGCGTCGGCGAGCGCGGCGAGAGGAGGAAGAGATTCGAGGTGGTACACGTGGTTCTCTGGAGCAACGTGACCGACGTGCTCGACTTCGAGGAGAGCTTTCGCGCCCATGTAGCCGATTTGCCTTGGCTCGCTGTGCCGAATCGGGATTACGAAAGGAAGGTAAGAGGATTTCCTTTTTTTTTTTTTTTAAATCTTTTGTTCTTCCTTTTTTATTGCGCTTCGGCGATATCCGTGTTTCGGTACCTTTTTTGTTTTCTCTTTCCGCCCTTTTTACGATACTCCTGTGTAAAAGATTAAAAGGTACCGCATGTGTTAAAAGGTACGTGAAATGACATTTCACCGAATGATATTCTGCAGAACGAATTGTCGGAACTTTTTGTCCACTGTTGACATTGGTTCGTCATTAGTTCCGGATGTTTGCTGCGCTCAAACTGTTGCCGCGTGCATAAAGCTCTGTTATAGTAGTAATCATTTATAATTCTTTATTTTAGGCTAACATCGATTATTTACTGCGTCAGGTATAAAACGGATATATTCTCGGACCCTAGCAAATCCGTAATCTACAGTAATCTATTGTCGGAGCGCAGAATTCAAAGTGTTCATTGAAATTGTTCGACCACCGGAAAACTCCACGCGCTAATCCTAACGGAAAGGAGAGATTGAAAAGTTTTCCGCCGCGCGATCGTGTTGAGTAGCTTTGAGTAGGTTTCTCTTTTTATTATCGCGACGAAACTTTTCAACCGATTGTAGCGGTTGTATTGATCTCGTTAAAAGTTTGCTCGTTTCGAGGAGAAATGGCAGAAATGGCCGAGAAATTTAATTTTGTCTTACCGGTCCTTATATATTTCAGGAAATATATACAGCAGACACAAATGTATCCATCCAGCAGTTGACATTAATTAAGTTGCCTCTCAGGATAAAAATATCTCGCGAAGTCTCTGTACTTGAAACTTCAATAACAGTATTATTTTCCGATACATTAAAATTCAAGAAGAAAGCGCATTAACCCCGATGTCGGATTTAATGAGAACGCGTCTAAAGATCACCTTAGGCGAGGATTTTGCGAATTGTGCGCGCACACGGAATTAATATTCCGACTGAAACAACAGCACACGACGATGTGTGTTTTTCATTTCAAGCGCAGGCTTTTAATCCCTTCGCAGACGCGCTCGCGCTATTTAAGGTTCGAATTTTATTTCTGTGAATGCGCCAGGCGCGGAGGTCGGTCGCGTGCACTTTCGAGATGTATTATCCACCCGCGCGATCTTTCTGCCATTACCATTTCCTGGTATGCATTATCGTCGTCGTCGTCGTCGTCGTTGATACGGCGCGGTGGTGCAGGGCGAACGGGGGCGACGAAGAAAATTGCGAAAGTACAGCTTGTAAGAATGGCCTTGCGTGCGAATAGCTAAGAGGAGTGGTAGAAGCTTTTAGACATAGTAAAGCGTCTTGTTGTGAAATGCGTGTGTTAATGCATTTTATGTCTTGAACTGCTTTCTACTTTAGACACTTTCATTTTCACATCTCATTAGAAATAACAAAATTACTACTGGCGCGCGTACCACAAACTTGAACAGTTCATCCGTGATTTCTATCTCGAATATCCCAGTAATTAAGTCTCGGATTAAATATTTTTTATTTTATGAAATTTATTCGCTAGTTTTTGTACAGATATTATTCATTGTTCAATTATTAAAAATTCTTCAGTTTGAACTTTAAACAATGCGTACGGAATGCAACACAAATATTTGAAATGTTCAAACGGTGGGCCACTTTATGTTTTATTCAGCCGGGGTACTTTAGACTCATTGATGTTTATAATGGGGATGCACGTAGGGTACAATACGTACATTTAATCGGCTCCAATTACGGAGAGATCCGCAACGATAAGCGCTTTAGCCGTAATCAACGTCAAGTGCAGCGTCGCGATTGGTCCTCGCTCATTAATTCTGCGCATAAATCGCTTTTGAGAGCGTCTCGTTGCAATTACCGATGCTTTGTGACAGTTTCGTTAACAATGAGAGAGACAAAGCTAATCGATTGCCGCGACTTAAGAAAAATTAGAGATCAATTATATAATATTTAAGAGATCCGTGGCGTTTTATGACACAAAGAGGATTTCATTTATTATATTAGTAAGGAAATTTATCGCATTAATACGTTCGGAATAAATAATTCAAAATTCTCCATTTGCTAAATTCATTTTCATACATTAATTTTACTCTTTTTTTTTTACAGAAGTTTTATTGTAACACGACAAATGATGTTGAAACAACGACATAACGTTCAGTCTCGATTGATGAGATTACAGAAAACAGACGCGCGTCGCTAACTCACGTTGCTCATCATCGTCGACCCGATTACTCGTCTTTTTCGCTTCCGTGCATTTTTGGTGGTCCTTCATCTTCTTTATTCCCGCACGAGGAAACGTCACTCGACTGCGCACATCCCGTGAATAACCGTGTCTAGGAGGTTCGCCGCTTCAACGCTTTAATCAGCGATGAGGTTGTTCATAGCTCGGGACGTTTTAATCGTTTCGTAAGAAAACGCACGTTTTTACCCGCCAGCAACGTTAACGAGAAAGGAGAAAAAAAAGGAAAAAGGCGAGGGGACGACGTCGGGGAGGGACGACCCATATCTTTCTCAAATAGCGTTCTCGTTCGTTCCACGCGATAATGAAAGGAATCGGAAGAGGAAGAGAGACGGGGCGGCGGTGAGAGGAATGAGCTTGCACGGTGTGTATGTTTCTTTTCATTCGCGCGAGCTTGTACATACACGAGCTTGTGTATGAAAGATGAAGCGAATGCGAATCGCAGCTGTAGTTCGGAATGGACTGAAAATCTAAACAAAAGTCATGAAATTTTAATTATCTCCTTGCGCGTTTTCTCTCTTCTGCACGAGTAATTGTTTTAAATTTCAATGAGAGAAATCAATTTTTTTTCCTACGAATATGCCGACGATGATTTATATCCCGAATATGTATTTTCACGATGTTGTAGCATCGATCGAAAAGCACGCGACACAAAATCGAACTGGTCGCCCGACTATAATGCACGCGAACTCTCTCTTATAGGCGCTATTTAATTTTAAATAAACCTTACAGTTTACAAGACTGCAAGTTAAGGTTTAGTAAAAAAAGACATTTAATCTTGCGATAAAATGCAAAGATTTTGATTAAAACATATATAAATCATTTTTTACTATTAATAAATTAGTAAATTTTTTCGTATATCATACAATATAACTAGTGAATTTTAGTAATGTGGCAAAAAGAGATAGTAAAATTTTTAATTTTAGTTAATGGTCTAATGAAAATATCGACTATAATTTTACGATAAAGTTCGCGGTTCAAACGTGAAGTAGCATACTTGAGATTCTGTTTAAACATTTTTCTTACAAACGTCTCGTAAACTGTTTGAAATATTCCAGACTGGCGTGTATCAAAGATCTGACAGCTGTATAGCAATATAACGTAATTCTGTACACAACAGAGTTAAACAATCGACCGAATTGTAAATTTATACAGCGAGGTCCCTTACAGAGATATATTAGTGTACATTCGACAGTTTCCACTAATTACACGCAATTTGCTAATTAAATTATCGTACAAACTGACAGGTAGCTATTGCGATTTCCATCTCAATCCGTTCCATTAAATCTCTCTGTTATTTCATTTAAATATATCAAATAGATTGTAATTTTGATTTTCTCTGAAATTAATCGTCCATTCGACCCGTACGTTGAAATTGTTAATTTTGATTCTCATGTGTGATGTGATTATGTAGACTCATTTATGCGTTGAGTACGTGTTGATAAGCATTTGCATTAGCTAATAATTAAACAAAAGAAGGGATAATTATTAATATTGATTCAGTAATTAATAAGGTTAATTTTTTTTTTAATATTGGAGTGGGTTTGATTTTATGACAGAGTAGAATCTTCTAAAATGAATATCGAGAAGATAAATACGCACTCAATATCTGTTTCAATCAAGATTTTTTTAGGAACAACACAACGCGCGCGATAAGCGTAGATGTATAAACATAGATTATGCATTTTGCGCGGACAATGCAAAATAATTCATTTTCATTAAATCTATTCATGTGCGATGAATGCAAAGTGTCGCGTTAAATTTCACAATGTATGCATTTAAATGATTATATTGTCAATTTGCATATGATGAATAGGAGATCAAAATTTTATTGATAAATTTATGAATGCGTGGGTACATTGCTGCAATTTATACATCTAAAATATCGCTTATACTTTTTGAGAGAGAGAGAAAGACAATCACTTCGTTAACTATTCTGAAAATAAATATAAATTTATCGTGAAAAAGATACAAGTATTGTACATACGTCGTTTAACTTTACAATGTCGAGTGCAGTTGTGTGGACAGGAAATCTTATCGCTCTTCCATGTCACGGCGGACCCAGCTTTGTTTTACATTTTCTCTTTATTGCAGTACATGCCTATGAATTGTGCACGGCCTATTAGTCCGTGGTCAAAGGGAAAGTGGTGAATGCACAAATTGCTCGCATGAAAAGCCGTCCCCGTATTTTCAGGAGAAAAACGAATCTCGCGACGTTGAGCCGCGCTATCGTCGTGCATCAACCTTTTCACGGCGAGACGCAAGCTCTTTTGTGTCACGAGCTTTTTTTTCATAATCGAACTTGCTTGCCCTTCGTTAGACGAAGATTATGGATAGTCACGTAACAAGTGAATCAATGAATTTGAAATGCTTTTTGTCAATGCAGGAAATGCAAAGAATTTCCGTTCCGCCTGTGCAAATTATTCCGTGCGGCAAAATCTGCTTTGCGGCGAAAGGTTGGACCGAAGATTGTTCAGCCGAAACACGGTGGGCATTTCTCACGAGATTATAGATTCAGGTACGCTAAAGAAACCACCTTGACGCTGCGACGTTCAAATGTAAATTCCGTAACATTGTCACAAGTAAGCATTGTGCAAAACTAATAATTTTCTATACTTAACTTAGTATTATTATTCTTCATTAATTATTAACAGCTGAAATAGAAATTTATCGACTGGAATATGATTTCAAATATTTGAAATTTTTTGTATTCCATTCTAGAATGGCGAGGAGAGTCTCGATCGAATTACAGGATTATTTAGGACCGCAAAAAGTGGCGTATCCCGCGCTGCTATAACGAGCCGCCTACACGCGACATTCGCTTATCTGCGAACGTGAGCAATGCCCGTAGACAATGAGGGGAGTTTGAAGGGAGAACACGCGGTCGTCGTCGCGACGGCTGCAGTTGAGCGTATGGCAGAGGCGTCGGGTTAGACACTGCGGTCTGTATACATGCGGGACACGATTGAACGCGTGCGAACCAGTCAAAAGTGATCTCCCTGTCTCTCCTCCCCCACGTTTCGTTTTTAACCGCGGCGAGGGATTTTGCCGGGACAGCGAACGAGAGGGAAAGGCCCTGAGAGAATGCGGGGTGGACGAAAGAGGAGAGAGAGAGGGAGAGAGAGAGAGAGAGAGAGAGGGAGAGGAAGAGGAAGAAAGATAGGAACATAGTGCAATGTCGCGATGGTTGGGAACGTACATTGGATGGCATAAATGCTCGCTCTTCACTAAACGAGAACTTTAGTATAGAATACATCACGGTCGGATATTCAGATATTTATAAATAAAAAATTGTCTAAAATATAAGGGAATAAGCAACGTGCAGTTGACACGAGATTTGAAGTTAAGTGATACGTAAGAATTTATGCTAAATAGTTTTTAAAAACTTCAATATCAGACTTGTGCAGATTTTCGAATTCTGAATGAATTTTTAATTTCTATATCTTAGACAGCTCATCCTATTATTAAACGTCTGGATATAGCGCCTCCTCCCAGAAAGCGCTCATCTAATAACGAAAGCGTTTATGACGCTCAGTGTACGGCGATCAGCGAGGGAAATAACGATAGCACCGTCGTCGAACGGTGGCAGCGCGAGCAAGGGAGGACGCACGCGTTATCGACCGCTCCGAGACTCCGAGCGAGGGCGAGCGCGAAACGCCGTCGTGGCTGCACCATGTGACGCGGGAAGCGAGAACGGGAAGGCCGCGCGGGAAATGTACGAAGGGACGGAGCACCTCCGTCACCCCCTTCTTTCCCCCCCCCCGCCCTTCCCCTCGGCGGACCGACCTTTTCACCCTACCTATCCTGCAAAAGTACTCGCGATAACGTACGGCGCGTTCCGCGCTCGCTATCCACCTACGGACCCTTCTCTCGCCTCGCGCTTGTCCTATCCATCCTCCGCACCCCCGCCTTATGCGCGGTCGTAACGGGGTATCTTGCGCGATACGAGAAATCGTCCGAAACCCTCCCTCGAGATATCGAGCCGCGGGGGGGCCGGCGGGGGGAGGGGGATCGCGGAGAAGAGGGTCGACCGACTTAATACAGTTTCGGGGGTAGATTGGAAGGTTTAGACTTCCGCGCGCGACTCTCCTCTCGCTTCAATCACGACACCCGACCGGCGGGAAGAGCCGCGTCAGCGAATTTTGCCAGCTAGAATACTGAGGGGGAAATGTATTTTACGATATCAATATATTTCGTCTCGAAAAAAAAATATATATATATTGATATTTCACCGGGGAATATTGAACAGTTGGATGGCATGACAAAATTGTGATAGTCTAATATTTTAGAATCCGTAATACGTTGGAAAAGAGACAGTAACATAAATGAAGGTCTTTTAAAAATATAAAATGCGAGAATTATTACACACCGGTTACACGTGGAAATAACGAAAGGACGAAAGCGGGAGGATTCGGAGATGGGTCGTACATTAAAATTAACGGTGTAAAAGGATTTTTCCCATTGAGGTGCGCTTAGGTCGTTAGTGACGTACATACATTATTCTGAGGCTGTTCGTACACACTGCTATTTTAATTACGATGATATATTTCTTCTGTTACGTTTCCTTTGTAAAAGGATTGCCTCTATTCAGCGCTAAATGTAGGGACTTGCCACGCGAGATAGATCAATATGCACGAGTTGTGCTTTTTGTACAGAATTAATTGGGTACGCGATATTGGCAATTAGTGTAATTAATACGCTTTGCAACATTTGCGAAACAAGATCTCCGGCGCGTATAGTGAACTATGCATTGATATATATATTTCCGTCCTCTTAATTGCCTTCCATTTGCAGCTTTTAGTCCATTACCCTTATTACTTCTTGAGAAACATTAACTGTGCGTTTCATTGCTGCGTTGCTAATGCAATACCTCCGACTGAAGCTGTTACGGTATTTATATTTTTTCTCTCGAATAATATAAAATTAAATGAAGATCTGGCAGTACGAATTGAAAATATCGTAAGTGCATTTTTTAGCGAAAATATTTTGTCTCTCATCAGATTTTGATATGTAAAAAACATTGTTTAAAAAAAGTTTTGCGAAGTACTGGATTTTTGATTTCCGAATTAATTGAAGAAGTTCCCTTTTCTACTTTCTCTCTCATTAATTAGAATTATAGAAAGACAGCTATTGTAACGCGGATCAACTTTTCTTGCTTGAGAAATTACGGTCTTGCAATCATAATACATTGATACGATCGATTGCGGTACATTAGTAGATTAATCCTCTCGTATTTTTCAGACAAGGCTCACTCGAAGGTATCGGATAAAAGCGGGCGTACCGACGTTGATTTTATTGGAGGGCACCAACGGGTCTGTAATAACAAGAGGTGGAGTGGAGCGAACTGTCGCCGATCCCATCGGCGAGGAATTCCCTTGGAGACCTCCACATCCAAAAGCCACGCTTGAGGATGGACCTCTTTTGCCGTGCGGCGCCCGCGGCAGCAATGAACCCATGTTGCACGAGGAGCTCCGTCATTGTTTCAAGGGAGTTTACTTTAGTGCACATTGGGTAAGCACCCGTCGAGTTATGTAAATGATAAAGTATTCCGCTGTGCTTTTTCTAGCAATTATAATCAAATAAATCTTATTCTATACGAAAGCTACTGATTTTTTTTTTTTTTGACAAAACTCTTTAATCTTACTTAAAATTAGTTAAATTATAAATACTGATTTAAATTATTTTTTATCAATTATTTAGTGCCCACCTTGTAAAGCATTCACCCCGCAACTTGTGGACACATATCAACGAATCCGAGAGAGAGGTCACGATTTCGAAGTAATTTTCGTAAGTTCAGATAGGTAAGTTTGCTTTAAAATAGTTTCATACATAAGTCATCATTTCATTTTTCAAATTGCCATTTCAATTGTCACCTTATCTCATGGTATTTCTTTCTTCTTATTCGACGGCTCGATTTTTCTATACACTTCTTACTATATCACATTATTTTATTCTTGTCCTTTTTGTATTTTCTTTTGTGAAGGGTTTCAATTGTTTTTATTCTAGGAGCGAGGACTCCTATAATGCGTACACGGAAACAATGCCTTGGTTAAGGATACCTTTCACTCAAGAAGAAAGACGTCGAAAATTGGCTAGGGCTCTCGACGTTCAAGCAATCCCAACTCTGGTCATTCTTGATCCTCGCGATAACATAATCACTCTGGATGGACGCGCCGAGTTAATCGAAGATCCGGAAGGACTGGTAATTCGTATTCAAATTTTTTAAATAATTACTACGTTACAAGAGATTTCTGAATAAGAGATTTTCAAATAAAATATGAGAAATACTTTATTTTCAAAAATTTATATTCTCTGCAAAATACATTTAGCTCTTTTACTTAATCATTAAACGTATTGTTAATTTTATAGCTATTTTCTAAATTTTCAGAACTTTCCCTGGACAAGTAGATTGCTGAACATTTTAACAGAAAAGTACGCTACATCGTTACACGATGCTCCGGCTATTATCTTGTTTGTTGGTAAGAATACAAATAAAATATGTTATTTGTATTTACTATTCTAAGAAAGAGAACAAACTTTGTTGAAAGATAACTTATCTGATCATCCTGTTATTTTACAGAGGGAGAAGACTGTGAGATTCAATTTGGAGAAAGCGTATTATTGCCAGCTGCAGAAGCATATAGAAAGAATCAGCCGGATTATGATCCAAATTATGATGATCCCAATGATGATACATTGCAATTTTATATAGCTTTGGATGTAAGTTACATGAATGAAGTAGTGTTTAATGTTGGTGAATTAAATATAATTTTCCTAAAATATTTTGTAAAAGATTAGAAACAATTCAATTTTATATATAAGAAAATATAAAAAAGTTTTAAATATAAAATGCTTCTAAGTAAAGTAGTACATTTAACGATTTCCTTGATGCAGTGTGAAACTTCGGATATTCTCCGCGAATTCATTGATTTGGACGACGCAGTACCTCTTTTGACCGCTATCGACATTCCGCGAGGGATCTACGTAGTGATGGAGTACGGCGCTGAAATTACGGTGGACTCCGTACAACAGTTCGTCGATGGATTTCTCAACAATCAATTGCCGATAAATAAAATAGCGGCAGTGCACAAAACATCAAAAACAAACGAACACGTGCCGGCCTAAAATCACATAAAACGTTAATTGAGCACAAAATTTGTACTTGGCAAATTTTATAAGAGAAGGAGTTGTTCGAAGTTATTCGAATCAGATGAAAAAGATCTCTCTTTCACACTCTCTTTCTTTTATACTCCTGTCTCTGTGATATTGTCGCTCTTTTCGTAGAGAAATTTGCGCGTAAATTATACTTCTTTTATAATTCTTTAGTAACCAAAAGATATGTATTATACCACAGCCAAAAATAAATCGATCAGATTGTATTTTTAAGTGTACGTACACGCACACGAATACGTTAATATATTATATATTACGTAATAAATGCCACGTAGGCGTACTATGGGAGTTCTTATATTTATGAAATAGCCCATTGTTGTAGTTTACCGAGTTTTATACATTTGTCATAGAAATTTAAAGATTTATGCAATCTCTATATACAATTATATACATTTGTATTTTCTATTAGCGAAACAATTTGATAAGTAAAATAAATTTAAGTAAGCTAATCTAAATTTAAATAATAATGTTGATAGTATTGACGCAGATGTAGTAAATGTAATGATTTTATTTGTGTATTTCTTTTTTACAAAATTATTTAATCTCATGTCTTTTAAATTGCTAATGTAGATATTATTAGAACGGGATAATTTTTCATACCTTATCTCTTACTGTTACGATCCTAACATTTTTTATACAACACATCACACTTGCACACGAATGATTCACGTATCATTGATTTACATATCAGTCCTAATTTATATTAAATATTTTACAAATATAAAGCTACCACCGTCGCTGGTTAAAAAAAAATTGTACAATGAGAGTTCGCGTTTTAAAAAAAAGGTACTGTACGTCATAAACAATAAAGTGCATTAAATCGTTTTAAAAGTCACTTTAGTTAAAAATTTACTTAATGTGATTGTTATACTACTCGTCTCTAATAATTATGCATTAAGAATGGTTATCACGTAAGGAGTGCTGTTAAAGCATCAAGAAATTTCGGTCTTTCTTCGACTTTCAGTCTTATTACTGCAAAAAGAAAAAAAATTTTTAGATATAACTCAGTTTTACTCATGCAGCATATGAATTCTAGTTTCATACTTACTTGTAGTATCAAAATAGTCTGCCTCAATGTAACAATTTTTATTCTTCGCAGCTTGCTCAAACGCTTTTCCAAATAAACTATAATAAGTTAACAATTAATTCTCAAAGAACGTAAATTATATAATTTCGTTCACGCTTATAAATATTACCTTCTAGGCTGATCCTCGCAAACTGGCGGTATACCAATAAGGAGGCACGTCTCTTCTTCTGCACTAAATATCGCAGAGGCCACAAGAGGCCATTCAGAAGCACGTCTGTTTCTCGAAGAGTTTACGTATGCTTTGAGGGCAAATTGTGCCAGCATAATCAGAGGATGAGGATGCGCGAATAAATGAGTGTCAATATTCCCTTCTGGCACCTCGAGATACAAGAAGGAACCGAACTTCTTCACTTGCTTAGCTTCCAGTATACTCTGTGCTGTTTTAAAAATATTGAGAAGCATAAGCTTTGCTTTTTCTATGCCGCCTTCTAAAACGTCCTTTTTCGTGCGTGACAAACAGTCCAGTGCGTCTAAGAAACAACGCTGCGGTTGCCTGTCCTTTGTCTGCAAAGAAAAATATCGTGTATATTGGAAAAAGTACAAGCACCAAAAGCATTAACGATGAAAGTATCAATATTCAATTAACTTACCGTGGAATCCAGTAAAGCCAACATGGCATATACCATATCCGATGCACAATATTTAAAACGATAACCATATTGGAGAGTAAAACTAGTGCCAATAACACTATTGACATTATATTTGCCAGCTAGCTTTTCAACCATCTGTCTAAACTCTTGTCTAAAAGTAAGATCCATTGCACGAAACAGTTGCCTGGATTGCACTAGAGGTAAACCCATTTCGGCTAAAACTTCTCTCAAACGCTGTTCCCCTCTAATGGACCAAAGACGCAGCGACACTGCAGTTGACATTGAATATTTTAAGCTATTTTCAACAGTCCAGTGACGATACAATGCTAATTGGAGGCTGTTTGTTATCATTAAGGAAATTAATGCAACATATTTATCAAACTAAAATGCAATTATGAAAGGATACTCTTTGTCGTAAGTGACTTTAACAATACTCTGTTGCTGTTGTTGCTTATCAATGTCAACACCTTGTCTGTGTGATAACCTTGAAACATGAGCTTGAAGAGAACCTTCTTCAAGAACAGATATTCGTGACTCCACCTTATTAAGAATAGATTGTTCTGTTGAACCAACTATGGCCCACCATGCCATATCTAAATTATCCTTTGACATATTCCAAGCCATTTCAAAAACTACTATCGCACTCTGTTTTATAAAAAAAGTGTTGCATATAAGTAAACTATAAAGAAATGTTATATATGTATAAATTACAAAACATAATTTTGTTATATTATTCTAATTTTTAATTATAGTACTCACTGATTTGCCATAATAACTATATTGTGTATAATTAAAAAGAATTGTTGCTCTGTTTTCAACCCATTTTCTTCGTTCGCCTCGTCTCAAAATATCCTCTTCATTCAGTCTTCGTTTCTTGCTTTGTCTGTCTTCACTTTCATCATCTGATTCTTCATTAGGGTCCTCTTCATCTGACTACACATAATTAGAGAGAATTATAGAAGAAATAACTAAACAAGATGGCAATTTGTTGCAAATATTACATACACTATCATCTCGAAATATATCATTATATTCTGGGATTTCATTGTCTTCATCAGGTTTACCAAGAATGCATACTTGATGTTCTGAATATATGTTGCATAAATCATAAGGCCTATGACTGTCGAGAATGAAAAATACTACAGAAACATCTGGTTCAAGTAATTCCACTAAATCTAAGGTACCACCACAGTTTATCATAACAACATATTTTATCTGAAACAAGAAATTTTTGTATAAAATTAAAGATTATTCATCAATGGCACATGTAATAGTAAGTATATTTTCAAGAGTCTTATATTATTACCTCTGTACAATTTTCTTCAAAAGCGTTTACCATATCCTGAATGCCTCGCACAGATACAAGAGTATATATTATGTGATCATTTTTAAAAAGTTGTTGTAATATTCTACAGGCACTGATTGCATCAACGTCAAAGTTCACCAGAAGTAAACACCTCTAAAATAATGACAAGAACATTAGACACATCTGCATCACTACATAACATTGTTCAATTAAAGTCGGACTTATATTTCTATATGTTAAAATTGAATATAAAAAAGATTTTTAATAAAGAACACTACTGACAGTATATTGTCCAATATATCAAACCAGATATTATACAATGCTTGTGTCACATTTTTATGGTGAAGAAAGGAACAACGTGCATGCTCCAATTCTCTAACGCTCAAAGTGACATAATTTTGCATAATAATAATTTACACGGAAACAAAGGACGACATTAAATAGGACGACAAGTATTATAGCCAGAACATTGTAAAAAAACCGCAAGATTGTTAAAAATACTTGTAAAGACATGAGGAAACCTCATGGTGTAACCTATATGAAGGACGCGGATTACGGTATTGCGGAGCAAGGCAAAACACAAACTTACACTTTTTTGTATCACGCTGTAGAAATCCTTCTCTAGATTCGTCACGAACATGTTGCAATTGTTTACGACACGCGAGACATTGCAGGTTTCGCGACGGTTTTGTACAAATGTCTCAGCATGTGCGCGATTTAGCGCGAAAATCCAAACCGTCGGTCACAAGGCATTCCGTTGCGCGCGGCGATGGCACAACCGTCATCGCGTCGACAGGAGGCTATTTCCAGCGCCATGGCTGTAAATCCGATTTTACCAAAATTCGCTATGTGAGCGAGACAAAACAGAAATTTTCACAGCGTGTTATCCACGTTTGCACGGGCTTTGTAAACCAGCGTCAGAAACAATGATTAGTCGATACGACAGTTATTTCATAACAATTTGTAAACAGTAATCCTGCAATCGATCTGTAACAGCTGATCACGATTAATCGAATCGAATCGGATCTGGTTCAATGTATTTGGACTATTTTTTTTATCTTTTCGACGCGGAATTTATGGTATTTTGTCATATCAACGATAGTAAATTAACATTGCATTTGTTATATAACGTTATTATGTCGACAAAAATGACATGTTTTCATCAGTAATTGTCCATTACTAGGATTGTTATAATTTTGCGATGAATTCCAGAAAAAAATTTTGAAGTCATGAAGTCTAAAATTATCCTAAAATATTATGTATGATATTTATGTTCTATTAATAATATTATTATTTAAGTAGCTGACCTAACAATATTTTCATGAGATGATGATTTCGGACTGAAGATTCATTTGCCGAAACACTGTAGTTGCGGCATTCTTTATGGCGACGTTACTGATTTCACGTCAATGCGACTAGCAGAGTCAACAAAATTGTACAAATCACGTCAATTTCATTAATTAGGCAATAATCGACACACAAAATGGAATTAGTGAGAAATGTATGGAGAAAGTCTACTTTTTTATATAAGACCGGTATGCAGTGTCTGCCTGTGAGACATAGGTATGCATTTGAATCTTTTTATAACCTTAAAATATACGTGCAATGCCATTATTTATTTTGTTGTTATTGAATAACAAATAGATATAAGCCATTGCATCTTACGAAAATATTAAATTAAATTTATATGTAATTGTTAATGTTTTTTGTTGACATAATCGCAGTGGCACTACAACGTCAAATGTAGCCGAAGTGGCGGTGTTTTCACGAGATGGTGATTCAGGTCTAGGAATCACAGATGCCGGAGACACAAAACCAAAGGACGATATGATTTTCAATGCTCTCGGAGTGACCGATGAGTTGTCTTCTTACATAGGACTGGCGAGAGAGTTTGCTTGTGATGGAAAGGTTGAACATCCTTACGTCGATAAGCTTAAGAGAGTGCAAATGATTTTATTTGACCTGAACCATGCCATATCAAAGTCTGTGCCTGGGAAGACCAGGTCCTTTGAAAGCAAACATACTAAAGATCTCGAAGAGTGGATTCTTGAATATGCGAATCAACTCCCTCCTCCAGAGGATTACATCATTCCAGTAATTACTTAGATATTAGAGCGATTTTACATACTTTTCTATCAACTGTGGTATTATCTAATACTTTTATGCTAGGGCGGTGGAAAAGCTTGCGCTTCCTTACATGTTGCACGAACAGTATGTAGGCGTGCCGAGAGAAGTATCACGACACTAGTGCGAGATGGTGCTTTGGATAAAGAGGCACAAACGTATTTGAATAGATTATCAGACTTCCTTTTAACAGTATCACGTATTGCAGCCAAATGTGATCAACGCACAGAAAATATTTATATTCCACGAGCAGAAGTGACGGAAGAAAAATGAAGGGACTGAGTTAGAAATTTTTGTAGGAAATTTGATTTTTTGCACTAACGTTAATGCATAAATGTTCAATAACCATGTATGCAGATACAAAGAATAGTAGCTATGATTAAGTCTAACAGTGTAATTATATCTATTTGTTATCAAATCCACCTGCATGTTTCATATCCAGGTAGTGGATGTGTATTTTGCTGCAGACTAGCCATGTATCATTAAATTGGAAATATTTTTAAACAGAATAAAATTAGTTATATGAAGAGTATATTATAATGCTCAATTGTAATCTTAATAAACAAATTTTTATTGCAGTTTTAGTGAAAGAACAGTGGTGTGGTAAAGATATGGTTGTATGGCACACATATGTAGATAATTTACTTAAATGAGACATTAGTGATCATTGTAAATACAAACCAAAATTACTTTATTAGCCATGATGTTATTATGTAACAAAGTTATCAACAACAAATTATACTTAATAAATATAAATCTTGACAACAATTAAAAAAATGTCAGTCTATTTACAATTTATGTTAAGAGTTCTTCGCCTTCAATTACTTCTTGCAAATTAACCAATTCAAGTAAAGCAGTGCCCTTTGTTTCGGATCGGACTAATTCATCTATTGCTCTATATTGACCTGGATCGATTAAGCAGAGCATTGTTAAGGATCCACTGTCCCACTCCTCTGTTTCCATTTTAGTTATCAGTTTGATCACTTTATCTTTCAATCTTCTCGCCTCCTTTTCTGGAATGACAATTCTGAGCCTCATCTGTGCACGTTCCAAAGGCATCACAGCTTTCAATTGTGCGATGACATCCAGTGCTTGTTGTTTGGCATTGCGATTGGGTTTAACAGAAAAGTGTATTTCATCTTTCATGGCATTCTCGATCATGGAAACTGGATATGGCCGCTTTGTCTCTGGATTGATACATTTACTGGCAACTGTCGTGGCAATATCTTTGAACATGGACTCCAATGCTGAATGTCTTTCCTTGTCGGAAACTTGAAGTTCACCTTTTGCAAGAATTTGTTTGCATATTTCAGTGTGATCATCTGTGCCAAAAGCTTTCACAAGATCTTCCTTTTTTGCAACCTGGCCCTTTGATACATTGGTAAATATTGTATGTGTTTGCAATACTTCATCAATGTCCTTTTCCCTAAAATGATCAAAAACAAAAATACTGAGAATATAATAATGAATGATATAAATGTATGATTAAATTCTGTGTACGAGAAAGAACATAAAAGTTCTTAGATATCATTAAACGAGTCTTACTATAGTGTATTTATGTATGTAAACATTGAAGAAAAATAGGTTAAAAACAATTCTACTTTAAGCACAATTTTTTAGCACGAAAACTTACAATTTGTTTCTCCAGGATATTACTTTGTTCTTATAACAGGCAATTTCGAATCGTTTACCACCTTTCTTCATACGAACGACAGCAACGTTCGTCAATCTTATTTGATTCGTTGGTGTAAATATCTTCGACATTTTCGCAGTAACCTCAATTAAAATATTCAACCGACAGAGCAATCAAATCGTTTAATGCGAAATACGTAATTGATACGTAATATTCTTGTTTTTTTTTCTATCTATATTTCTACAAGGCGTTGCACATTACATGAAATTACAACCCAAATAACAAATTGCAATACACGTTTACTGAATGTAGTAGTAGTAGTAGTAGTGTAGTGATGTGTAGTGGCACCGGGAAGCTCCCCCTTGCGGCCATATGGTTCGTGATGGGAAATGGAGAGGGGAGGGCGGTAAGTTTAAATGGATAGTTTAGTACTGAATGTGACTGAATGCATCGACCGACTGAGCATAGAATGTATGCACTGCAAGATACAACAGGTGAATTCTACATATTTGTGTGTATTTTGTTAAGCGTAAGATAAAATAACAAATCTGATTGGCTTTGCTATTTTAGTGCTAACTGGTATTAACGTATTAGGTAACGAATGATGAAGAATGTGAGTATAAATATGGCGTTACAATTACTTCCCCCTTTCGTCTACTGCCTACACCCCCTCTTCTATGTTCCATGAGATAAGTTGGCAATGCATGTAATACGGTAGTCAATTGACGTATCAATTTTGATTTCCTTCTTCATATAATTCGGTATTTTTATATTATTTTCAAACCTAAAATTTATTTTAAACAATTAATTTTAAATAATTCGGTGAGTGTTTTGTGTTACCTTCTATATACAACTCGTGTACACGCCGTGCAGGCCATACTATTGGCGCGTTATCGGCCGCGTTAAATGCGTTACGACGCCGTCCTGGCGAGT